TTTTCATGTTGAAAGATAGCAGTTAGGAAGGTGTGCCACTCAAATGAGGTGAAATCCTACCTTGATTTGGCACATTAGCTTTAGCTATGAAGCAACACAATAAAATTTTTGTTTTTAAACTGCACTGCGGTTTCGCGACTTATTTGTAATGAGCGCACCCATTTCCTGACTTCATTTAACCGGGATACCAGGTCCCGATCGCATAACGAATTTCGGAGTAGCTTATTGACACTGAGGTTATGCTCGTTCTCAGTTTTCAGGAACATTCTGTGTGATTGTTTCCATTTTACGTCTTCGCGAAAGTGTTGCCAACGTCTTCAGGCAAGTATGCAATGTAGTACCTGATTTCTTTTTGTTTGCACAGAACTGACCCCAGCTGAATGTACTCAGTTCACCAAACCCGGTTACAAATGGCGTCTTCATTTGCACTGACCTGAATGGAAGGTGTTCTTGGGAAATCGTTAGTATACAAACGGACATACAAGTAAATTAACGATAAACTACAGGAAACTGAATGGAAAATGGTGAAACGCCAAAGCAGAGCCTGGTTATATTGAACCTTGAGTTTGGAAACTGGTACGTTGAATGATTTCCTAGTTTATGCGACCAGAGCTGGTAGCTAGCATTGTTGAGGTTACGGTCTACCTCAGTGCTGCAATAACGTCATTACTGTCATAGTCCATTAGTGAGATTTGATCGTCAGTTTCCGCGATGAAATGCGCCAGTTACACCCAGCAAGGATTTTGAAGATGGGATATTGACATTTAATGAACGCAATGAAAACAGTCGGTTCCCAATTGCAGCTAAGTCGGTTGGTCCTGTGAAGGCGGGATGCCTCTTGAGCAAGACTAAATGCGGCAATATGCAAAAAAGACTAAGGCTGCAATGAAATGGAATTGACTGCCCACTACACCAGTCCCTCGCAAGCTTGCCAAACAACCCATTAAGTTACCCGCATGTGGGACCGTAGCAGAGGAAAGTTCTAATGAATGAAGCGCACCTCAGCATTGACAGCTGGAAAAAATACCACAGCTGGAGACGACCTGGTAGCCGCTTTGATCTGGAATGATAGGCCTGATACTCCGTACATCATCTAAGATAAGAACGACGGAATTCTACGGAAAAACACTCGCATAAATTTTTCGATAAACTGCTTGAAGCTCATGTCTAGAAATAAACTTTCACGCCATCTTGAACCAATGAACTAGGAAAATCCCCGACTTTTGAGGTTGACCCTCACCAATTCGAATGATATTAAAGATTGTCTACTGGTATCTCACGTATCAAAAGCTGAAGAGAATGTAACACCACTACCAGGTATCTCAAACTCGGAGAGAATGACTACGTGCGGCTTACTTTTGGAAAAGAGTCCGACAATACAACAGATGTCCGGGAATCCAAGTACTGAGAAGACCCGTTGCAATTATTGTGAGCGGAAACTCTTTCAGAAGATCACGAACCTTACAGGAATAAAGATGGAGAAGGTCTAACAGATTCCGAAGAAGCTCTTATACCAGGGCTATTCAAACTGACCCTTCCATTTTAATAAACGCCGCCGTCCTCTTTACAGGCGTTTCGGGCGAGCAGACTTTGTGTGATACCTAGACCACACATGGACCTTGGAGCCAAAGCTGATTGCACATTTGGCGGACAATATGAACACAAAAGTGGGACCGAGTGGGAGACTATCCACTGGCAAGTCACAATCTGATGGATTGGATGATGGAAAATTCACGTGTGTTCAAAAATAGGACAGCATAAATTTCATCCTTATAAATGCTTGCAGTTGGCCTAAAAGTCTTGACGAAGTAAGGGAAACAACAGATCACACCAGTGATCATCTGATAGGTGGCATTAGAACATAAGATTGTCCTCAAGTTTCAAATCAGAAGCCGGGTGTTGTGGATAATAAATCGTTTTCTAAAGGCAGGAGGGCTGGCATGGTGGTGCTGCGGCACTTTCTGTCAGTCAATTTCATAAAGCTTACCAAAGTCGTTTTCGTGGGCTGTCCTGTTCTGAAGAGTCTATGTGGAGCTTCCTGACGCTGTCTAGGTCCCCCGGGTCCATAGGCAGTCACTCAAAATGAAGTCACTTCCAGATATCCAAATGTCCTAGGTTTGGGGCTACTTTCGATGAAGTGACTCAAAATTAACCTGACGCTCCTCTTCCATGTGCTACACAAATTCATTTTGACCACCAGCAGTGAGTTTCGGTTCGAACACAACAATTGTTGCGATCTGCGCAACCACGCCCACAGCGTCGCAATGGACCGGTTTAAATCCTGCCCTCGTGCGCATTTCTTCACCATCAGCTCCTCCCAGATTTGGAACGGACCTCCTGCTAATGTGAAAGTATCGAAATCAACCACTAGATCTAGTCGGTTACTAGTTAACTTCTTATCATCTGGGAACCTTTTCGGCTTACTGAGTGCACCAAAACTATCCTTCGTGATATTTCGCATAATAGACCCTCTTAATGTATAAGACACCCACCACACATGCGCTGGCCCTTCATAAGAGGCACTGAGATGACTTCCATAGGTTATCACCTCAAACTAGCCGCACGATCCATCTCACCCAAAGTAGTAATCAAAAATAGAAGTTCTACAATACACGATAGTCTGAAGTTTACGTTCCTAAGTACTCAACAGAAAAAGCACGTATAATGAACGCCATAGCAAGGAAAGTTAAGCCAGGACAAGTTGGGAATGGAAAACATACTACTTGTTGGACTTCTTGCTCCCTTTTCTGTCTGCCGCTTAGCTTCGCTTTTTTCTCGTTGTGGAGGAACAGTTCACTTCTCAAAGTTGGCTTGGTCACCATGGAAAATTAATTATTTAGGTACAGAGCTTGGCTAAAACCACCCCCCATAATCGGTAGCTAGAGTTACTGAGTTCACAATACCTAACTACAACGAACAGAAGCAAAGAGCGTTCACTGGACTACAACTTTATAATTATCAAAACTTAAGACTTATTCACTATGAAAGTGACCCGGAAAGTCTGACACTTACCGACCACAGGGCTGTCATGATCCGCGAAAATGGCTGACACGGTGTACTGGAAGTCCACTCGACGCATCCAAACAAGTCTATTGGTTCCGGATGCTGGAGTTGGAAAAATGAAGATATTTGGCTCCCAGTCGTAATATTCATCAGGATTATGAATCGCTGATGTGAAATGGTATTAACACATATGAATTACGCATTTCCAGAATCACCAGTGAAGTACAATAAACCAACAACTTGGGCATGCACTCCCTAACAAATCTTTCATCATTATCCCAAGCAAAAAGTACAAACTGCTACAATGGAAGCATCAGCTCCAAGCTTTACTTTTCTCCAAGTAATACCCGCAACGTCGAGGTAGAAACCTGATTTTTTGTTGATGTGAAGACAATACTTCCACTCGTCCAACTTGTAAATTTTAGCGTAATTATTCTGCTGGGATTTTCCATCACATAAACATACACACTTGTAACACCTAGTGACAGAAAAAGTGGAAATCGAGATATTACCTGCTATTAAGATACACGTAATTTACACAGTAACTCATTCGTACTTGTAAAAATAGTGTTCCCGTATATTCAAGAATAAATATTATCATTACCATTTTAACCAGCCGTTGAAAGGAATCAGCTGCTCTCAAACTCCAGGGCACAAAAGTCAAGTCTGTGAGACTTCAGTCTCACATCATAAGTTCCCCGGACAGCAACGGCTGCAATACGGACAGATTCCGCTACCTGACTGAGTATCTGAGTCTAACAAAAAATGTGAGGTGCATGGTGCAAAACAGAGACAATTAAACACCAAATCACCTAGACTGTGTCTTCATGAATGAAGAATTTTTGATAGATGCCCTTTCAACCCCCCATTCTTTGACCGGGAATGGTCAAATCGTTATGGGCTTTCTCTGGGTTTCCACTTACAAACCGACCCTTTCCACCAGAATTTGTAGATAGAACTTCCAGTGAGTGACTACTCTGACTCTTCGAACAGTAGTGGAACAGATAGCTTGATTGGTTAGCAGTGCATGGTAGGGAAAGAAAACCCATGAGGAATTCATACCTGACAAAATCAGTTTCAGCATTAGCCAGTCTTTTCCCCCATCAACGCCAGTGTTCCAAGTCACCTAAGGTAATAAGCAATTCCACTAGCAAACTAACTAGTTCAAAAAGGTACAACTGAGTCAAGCAGGATAGACATGGTAATGAACACACCATATATCATAGAGTCAATCCCAGTTGATGTTATCAAAAGTTATTAGATATCAGAGTGTTAGGAATAGCTCGTTTCAACTGAATTATCAATAGGAATGGTCAATATATACAATGGAACGTATCTCCACATGATTTCCTTTGGTCGCCTGAGAGCGTAGTGATTAGGCACCCATATCAGGAATCTATTTTTGCATGACTAACCAAGCCACAAGCTATTCATGAAAACCGCTTCGCATAGCGAGAGGGTTACATTTAATCATATTCAATAGATAGCATTTTCCACTCGTCACGTGAGTTCTCTTCTTTAAATAGGAGTGAAGTTTTCTGTCATAGAGTGCTAATATGCTTCTCTTGAAGACTCTGACCTCAATACTGTTAACTCATGCTTATTGATAGACAAAAAAGAAGAATAGCGACCGGCCCAGTAATTTAGTGCCTTGTGTAACGGAAGCGTCTGCCCATATAGGTAGACAACTCATATTTACAAATGAAATCCGGTGACTTGTATGCTGAAATGCAGTCTATATCACCTCAAAATATACCTAACGTTTGTGGAGTTGAACTTCCTTTAAAATAAAAACGTACTCCATGTTCAGGGTCAGTGAAGTCGACGAAAAAAGCAGAGATTTTAATATTCTGTACCAGAAGTCTATCATCATGTAGTTTTAACATAAATTTATTAATACAGTAGAATTTGTTTGTTCGTTCCTATTCGACCTTCGGTTTTACTTCTGCATTCGTTCCACCATTTGATTTATTTCATCTCGGGTCGCCTGACTTCGCATGAGTGTTCGCAAGTTTAGTAAGAAGTTCAGTGTGCAGTCTGTGGAAGCACCAGATTTGAAAGGTGCAAAGTTGTCGCTGTTGGGTGAATCCACAGAGGCCTATGGTAAGGTTTAACACTAATTACTAATGTTAACTTTGAATATTGTTTAAAATATTTCGCTGAGTTTGTTTTTCAAAACCTATATATGTACTTTCAGCTATTTCCACAGGTCTATGACAAATAATTTCTTGAAATTATTTTGAGAGTATGAGGCAGACTTGTGGACGCATTTTTCTCGAAAGTTGCTTAACTTAACATACCATCATTTAGGCAAGGTTTTTCTCTCATTTTTTGTTGCTATTCTAGGATATTATAAAATATAAAATGTCAGCACTCGTTATGCGTCTCGAATATAGATCCTTTTCAAATTAGCGTCTGTTTAATAATTAAACGTCTCATGAATTTGCAAATGATTTCTGAATCCCTAAACTATATGCTATTTTAGCATACATAACGTAGAATAGATTGTTTGCTGAGATTTCAACATCTTAAGATGTCACATCTGCAGTCATTTCCGACTATGAATTACGAGGTCCAGGGATTACTGTGAAGGGAAATTTCGCAACTAACCCACTCAGTCTTCCATTGCTATCTTGTCTCTTAGATCGTGACATACGAAGTAGATAACAATTTCCGTTCGATTTCAAGCTATTCAGAACGAAAATTTTACTTAGTCTGTATTCAGTAGTTTTTGCTGTATACAGTCGTGAAATATTATTGACAATGCCACTTCAAATAATCGTAAATAACGTATTTTACAAGGAGTCAGTTGTGTTGTTTCGTAGCTGAAATGCAATTCCATATGCTTATAGATTCATTTTCTAGTTTTCTCTCTGAGTTTCGGACCTATGAAAAATTTGTACAACACTTGGAAATAACTATGTAAACAGCCAAAGAGCGTATGATATCACGTTAGTCGTTTCATTGTTAACGATCTATGGCTTACTAACTTGTGAACCTACGACTGAATAATGCATATAGTTACCTTTAGTTTGGTCTTACTAATGGTTAGATAGTTTGACTTCATCGTCTGGTCAGTAACAGAAGCTGATCAATAAAATATAAGTATCACTTATGAAAAAACCTGTGGCTGTATAAATAGTGCTACTTTTAATTGTTTGGATAATATAAGAATAATAAGCACTTAACATAAATTCATCTTACTTGTGCATATCTCACTCTGGTGTTTTACATGACTACCTAACTCACTACTTACTTCAACTCCCCTTGGAATTGATGTTATTGTCAGTTGTAGTAGTGTTACTGAGATACACGTTATGTTGTATATTTCTAAGCATGTTGATGAACTTACTGTGTATTTAATACAATTTTTTCACTTGTTTGAATTTTATATAGTGTTTTTCAGCGTCCAATAGAAATATGTAATTCCTAAGTTACTTCCCATGTTTAACTCAGCAGTACGCACTATTATCCTGAAGACGATGAATAAAAACATTCTCCTTGATATACAACGGTTAAAAGCGAATGAACTGAGTTGACTGCCCACTTTTTGAATTAATAATGTTTGTTTTGGTGTTTTGCCGTTGCCAGCTTAATCTTTGCATGTGGAAAAATCCGTATTTGATAATTTAGGATGCTGGTCATTTTTCATCAAATGGTATTGTTGTTGGATGTTAACTGATGACTGAGATGAAAAAAGTAACGGAAAACGTGAAAAAGTTATGCATTGGTTCAAGTTACCATACATAAAAGCATTGTATAGAAAACAATAGAATCGACCATAAAGAAAACAGTCGTTTGTAAACTAAGTCTAGTTCCTTGGCAAAGTCATGTAAACTAAAGCAGTTACATTGGATCGTATCTCTAAAGATACGAGAATCAATAAATACATACGCATGTAATAGACTGATCAATACCATCATTTATTGTCAGTCACACTACCCATTCACGTAAACTGAGGTGGTAACTAGTTTTGCTGTCCATCCATTACCAAAGGGATAACAATTAAATCTGTAAATCCGCATAAGCCAATAGACAGATTATACGTACTTGATTACTTACTCAGAAGATAGGATAAACCTTCAGGGAGCATATGAATGTACTCCTTTTGCTTACTGGGTGCTTTTACTTTGTTAAATAATTACTTAATTCGATACATAAATTTCGAAAATCATATACTTTACTCTGGTATATACAAAATCGAAAGGATTGGTGCTGATAGCGGTTACATACAACATAGTGTCTATCTTTAGTGTGCTAATTCATAATTATAACTGAAGTGCTGTGTCATACATGGGAGTATTTGGATATGAAATCATACCAATCACTTAAACCATTCACTTTGATTGGTTGTTAATCTGTGAGCTTGTAGTCTTTATGTATTTTGTCTAGTCCTGTTTTGGTCATTATCTAACCAGCTATGGCATTCTGCGTCTTCGTCCATGCAGTATGAAGTAATTTCATTCTAAGCGTCATGCAGTTTGTACTGTAGTTTTTGCTACTATGATTCACTGGAGGAATATTTATTCTCAGCATTTTATTATTCAGCCGTGCAGTCACATTTGTAACTGATTAAATGTTGATTGGTTGTAATAAAAATTTGCTCAGTCAGTACATGTGATAAGATTGTGGGAAAATAATTATTAGTGATTGTCAGGGGACATTCGGAAGACCCACTTACAAAGTCCAGTGTAGTAGTCGAAATTGAAACGCACTCAACAATCAAGTACAAGCTTGTGCAATAGACTGCGCAAAACTTGTTGTGAGGGTTACTAAAACATCACTAGATGGAGTGGGGTTCGAATTCTTGACCCACTAGCTAAAACTCGAGTGCCTAAACCAACGAACTACAGCTCTGTCCAACGTATTAAACAGAAACATGTAAGTCGACAGATCCCATAAGTTGTACAACTGCTCTTCGTATACTGCTGAATCTAATTACATCTCCAAAACATCAAAAGTTAGCAGAAAGAAAGCATATTTATTTCCATGATTTATTGTCGCCTATCCACATCCAATACGGTGCATTCAGAAATTTCCTTACGAAGTTAAGTTTTAGCGGAATATCTACTTAAAACATACAGCCTTCAAGATTGAAAACCTATTAATTCCATAGAGTCAGGATAAAAAATGATTCTAAATTATTACTGTATTGTTTATAAGCGGGTCATGAGAAGTATAACTGTATCTTGTCTGTCTTGATTATTGATTCTGACACTTTTTTATTACTTTATTATTGACTTCAATCTAGCTGGAATACCGACTGAAGTTGTTGATGAGGATATTGAGGCTGAGGATGAAGATAACACGCAGCTAAACCTGTTTGAGGTAATCTATCATATCATTTGAGTGATTTTCCATCTGTACCGGTTTTTTTGTTATTATTTTAATACTGTTACTGCTGATGTCTGGTTTTTGACTTTTTAACTCTATGCCTTTACTCATTCTTGCCATATATGTAAGATGAAGTGATGCTTGTAATTATTCCCTTATATTAAGTCATGCACCTCGTTTCTGAATCTAAATGAGTTTTGTTATCCCTATTGATCATAAATCGATATACTTTCTGTAATGTTATGAGACTGTTAATATGCACCTTAGAATAAATAATATACAATTCTTTTTTGGTGCTTGTTACTCGCGCATTTTGATACTGAAAGTTTGTTGGAAGTGTATGAACGTAATCAATGCTTCAAATTGGAGTCAAATATTTGATACATAGAGTGACTTTATAGACAGTGGGTTTTTACAGTTTTCGTAAAAATTGTCATCCCATGAGATAAATAGCAGAATTACATGTGACGGATAGTGGCTAACAATAGAATCCAGGACACGCATTTCATTCTATTTGGGACTCCTCAACTAGATGTACCTGCCTCACAGTGAGCGATGTTGTTTCTACTAAGGCCAGTGAGAGACTGGTCACTTTCAACTGGAAACATAGGCGATATCGATGCATCCACTCAGGACCCTATATGCCAATCGAGACCGAATAATTTGGTGCAGTCAACGACGGTATAATACAAGTGACAACATCAATAGCAGAACTGTTGTTGTTTTTATATGCTTTCAAATTTTTTAGATTTTGTTTTCTTTTAGGAAGATGACAAGACATTACCTCCAATGAGTAACTGGTTTAGTAAGCTGGCTGCATACACTGGTGGGATCGAACCAACTGTTGGTGAAACGAAGCAACTAAGAGAAAAGCAAACGAAACCAAAGGATGTGAGTCAGTTTTTTAAAGTTTGGTGGAATTTTGTCAGATTAATGTGGTATTCTGTACTGTTTGGTGATCACATAGTTCTAATTTCAGTGGTTACAAACAAATACTTCAAGTAGAGTTCTACATACATCCTTTGGTTCATGAAATTATATTCATTTGGAAAATAGAGGAGAGATTGACGGTTTTGGTTAAATTGGGTACTGCTCAACAGATGTTTCCAATTTATAATTTCTATTCAGTTTTGCCAGAATACGCCTGCGTAGGTAATGATCCCTTCGTCAGATGTCTTGGCAGGGGTCGTAAGACGTTGCTTGTCTTCTTACAGATTACAGGAAACTGTTCTGTTAGTTGTACAAATTGATGCTTCTTATTTGGTCCTCTTTTTCAACTTTCACCCCCATCGTCATTGCTTAAACTGTTATCTATTCTAAATGCTGACCAAATTGTATCGGAGGAGTTTCTGTACCGTGATTACAAAGCTTAGTGATTGGAAACCTCAGAAAATGATATTTTATCTTCTGTGGTCAGAGGATTACAACAAAAATCCTCAGACATCAGTTTTATGCACATTAAGACAAACCAGGAAGACGTACGTATGTGTGGTGAAACATAGTCGTTTCAGTTGTATTATGTGTGAATGCAGTCCTCAATGAGACACTCAACTGACTAAGGGAGTACTAGTTTCGGTGATGAGTGTCATAAAGTACAAAACTTAGGCTTAAGACTTCCTGCTATAGTTTTTAACTGTCCTGTAGCAATATAGTGCGTTTTACTTACTTCCATTGAAAATGTCCTTATTACTATTTTAGATGTCTTCTTCAAAATAGTCGATTATTGTGGTGAAGATTACCTCTACTTTTTGACCTCAAACATTTTATCTTGAAATGTGAAATATTCCTCTGGATACCGCCAATAGTTGCAGTCGTATTATGCCACTCTTGTAACGTAATTAACTGACTTACGGAGGACTATGTTTTTCACAGTTTCACTGTTTTTCTTCTGTATTCTGGGTTTATTATGTGCAATACCATAGTTGTTAGAATCACGTTTATTATATGTTTATCACTAGTCAAGTAGGTGTTTTTATCAATGTGTCAGTCTTATTGACCTTCACCTTTATTTTTTATGCAGAACAAACGTTTGGGCACTATATTGGGTGTTTTCCTACCATGCTGTCAAAATATATTTGGCATACTTTTGTTCCTTCGGGTTGGATGGATCACAGGTGTAGCAGGTGTTCTTCAAACATTCATCATAGTATTACTTTGCTGTAGTTGTGTAAGTTGTGGTTTTTTAATTCAAAATGTCGTAATTTAACTATTGGTGTGTATTTACCAAAACTACCGTGATAATTCCTAAGTTACAGTCAATGTATGTTTAACACTCATTTTCCCTAATAGCAAAATGAATTTTATCATTCATGTGACGTATAAAAAATTTTTTCTTAGTAGTCTCAGCCTTAATTAATATATTCATAGTTTTCTGTTTACTTAGGTAGCTTATTCAAATGATTTTTAGTGTCTTCTTTTTCTGGACTGGTTTATTAATGAGGCTTTCGTTAACATAACTTTTATTTGATACTGCAACAGCGATCTAATGAAGATGATGTTGATGTTCAGCAACAAGTGGAGGATTAAGCAAAGGCATGTCAGAACTTGTGTGAATGGTTAGAGGAATTGCGAACGCCTCACTATCTGTTCATAATATCTCTTTTAGGAGATTGCTGATGAAAGAATCAATTTCATGCCTATGGAACCTGTTCTGATTAGAATCTTCTTCTGATCAGTTTTCATCTTCCCGTTGACTCAGTTATAACTTGTATGTCTCTGCACGGATGAAATGGATTAACAAGGTTATAGGTAGATAGAGCTAATGCAACGCACTTAAAAAGCTATTAACTGCAGCTCCGAAGAACATTTTTTTTAATACCGATGAATGTAATCTGAAAACGGAAACCAGTGGAAGGGCTTACAGTTGCACTTATTTGTCGAGGATCTATTCAATATTTCCTCAAAAAACCACTAATATGTATGGACTAAGATTTAATAATTTCAGTGCAAGAAAGTACTGTTAATTTCCACACTTAAACGTAGGTATTAAGACAGATTTCAATAAACCGCTTACACTGCAGTGTATAAAGTTTAATAACCTTAGCAATCGTTTCTTCTCTGTTAGCAAACCGAGCAGTACATTTCATTCATACTCTAAGTAAATCTAGTTTACCCTACTTGAACTACTGTTGCGTTTCGGATCTTTTTGTAATGCTAGTAAAGCGACATTTTATTCATTGATACAAACTGAAGCCATAAAATCTCACTTCTTTATGAAGTTGACACTCTGATGTCACCATGGATGGTGACGAAGCGTTCACAATAAAACATCCAATCCCAGAAAACACAGAACCATCGTCATCCTCATTTTAAGCTGCTAGTTTTTACTATCATTTCGAAATTCCGTCTAGTTCTTCACATACCGAAATATTTCTTTAATGCATGAGAGAGAGAGAGAGAGAGAGCTACTTAACTTTAATGAGATCTTGGTAGAGTACACAGAGAATAGCATGTATAATAATACAGAAATTAAGTATTTTTGTTAGTGTAAACTTTTCAACAGCTGAAGGTAGATAAACTAGACCGAGAGCAATAATTGACTCACGTAAACTACTTGCAAACCAGCTCATTATAGTATAACAATTTCTTCCCACAGCATATCGATAGGACATGTATCAGAAAATTATGCGGTTGTAAATACCAAATAAAGCAAAAGTGTATATAACGTATTCCCATAAAAGAGCCACACTTGATGCACTAACTTCGGAAAATCACTCCTAAAATATGGCTTTATGAATTATCTCACCAACAAACCTGTGGTACTCATCTTCCCACTGAAGATTTATTCCTTACCTGTTGGACTGTGATGGTTAATTTAAAAAATTCTACTATCTGTGTAATTATATTTCCGCTTTGTGTAAGATCATTGAGTCTTCTAAGAGTCTATTCGTAGCTAATCAACCTTATATGTTATACTCTGATCTTGTTCGTTGACCTGATAACTGTCGTTTACTACTTACTTTTCTTTTATTTAAAACAAAATACCCCTGCCTTTATGTCTTAGCTTTTCTTCCAGTGTAAGGAAGGAAAATTAAGCCAAGATTATAGTATCAGCGCATATTTAACCCATTTTAGTTTTTTTTCTAACCAAGGGAAAAAAGTTTATGAAATCTACTGAAATTTACCTAGGAGTTTTACTACTTAATTAAATCAAGTGGTAAAAGTAGTCTTTGTGCGGTATAGGATTATATACTTCTTCAGTTTAAACAGTTTTTCACGTTTTTCCCTAAAGAGTGACATCAGAGTCAGATTATAAAACCATTCCTAATATATTTATTCTACAGAAAATCTCTCTGAAGTCTTTTTTGCTATTTTTAATATTTATAAAGTTACTCACTGTCACCTTGAAGCTTTTTTGATTTTTTCTGTTTTTATGTTAAACGGTCAACTTTCTTTTTTCCTTTTTTACCGTAAACTTATTTTCTAATCTTCACCTATTCCTTTGTTCCTTATGAACATACATTTTGATTGATTGTAGTTCTTCAATTATCCCCAGTTGTTGTTGCTTCATCTTCTTTTTTTTGTCTTTATTTTGTTGACTTTTATTTGCTCAGATATAACAATTCATCAATAGAGAAATAAAGAGAACTGAAAGTTTTACATGTTCTGTGTCATCGTAAGAGATGCAGAGAGATTGTGATATTGTTTTTTGTTGATATTTGTTTCACCGATTTTGAAAGTAGAAGAGATGATCATCTCAGTTACCTGGAACATCTTTTTCAATTTAATTATTTGGACGAAGACAGTTCAGATTATGAAGCTAATATGTGTATTCACATGCAGTGATGCAAAGATTCTGCGTCAACACTTCTAGGTTCACAGTACTTGATGTCGTAATTATGGTCACTTATGCTACCATCTTTTAGCGTAAGCGCATAATTTAAATCTTGAAATGTTTTTAAAATTTCATTTCTTTACATATATGATGAACACTAAGTAAAGATGATGGCATTTCAAGTCAGGCATTTTACTGTAAACCAATGGACTACAGTTTCAGACATAATTTCACCTGCTAATGCTTTAACAAATAGCTGGTGTCACTGGCGTCAGGTGTGGTCTACGACCCAAAACACAAGCTTGAAGGTATTTTAAGGATAAGAAATAGACCTTGTAGGAAAAGAAAAAGATTTATTACAGGTTTGTGGGGACACTATTGCAAACCAATAAGGTTACACGAAGTTTATTGATTTTTCTTTGTGGTCTGTTCACTTGTGCAGCTCTCATGTCCAGCCAGGGGATTTTCTGAAGTGGCGTATCCTATATTCCGAGATAAATGGTAATTATAGTTAGCTTCAGAATAACAGAAAAAGTGATGTTCAAGCAGTTTCCTAAGAATTAACCTCAAATCTCTTTGTTTTCGCAGAAAATTTGAACTAGTTATGCATTGTCCTACCGGTCACTAGGAAAAAGCAAATCCACTTATATCTCAGCATTTTGATTGGCCGAATCCCTATGATTGCAAGTTACCACTGTTATTATTGGCGAATGACCCACCATCTTTGCATCTTTATGAAGTTGAATTCAAAATGTAGGTACTGAACATCAATATTATGGTAGGGTGTGGTTCGTTATCAGATTTATGGATTTGGTGTAGCACTGTCTGATAGAAGAAGATTCAAACACTTTATAGCTCATGATTACATCAAGGTGCTCAAAAAGTTTTCGATAGTTAGAAGTTCACTGAAGATTGTAAATAAACTGATATCAAAGCGATTCTCCTTGAGGATTACCACGATAGAAACCTTTAAAATCCAAATTGTAATGTTATAGGATCAAATCAAGTAGTCTTTTAGATACATTAGAAATGATACTTGATTGTATACAATCTTGAGATGGTTTTATTCGCTGCTATTCTGCATAACAAATGTATTTACTGCAATTTGAGCTGAATTTATTCATAAACAGAAGTAGATTTCAATGTCTGTAGTGAAAACCCATGAGTGCCTTATAAGAATAACTGAATGGTTACTTTGGAATTCATAAAATTTAAAATGTAGTTAGTCAGGAAGTTTTGAAAAGCTTAGGGTCGAATTCAACAACTCGTTTGTTTTGCTTCAATAGGGTGCTTCTGTAAAAATTGCGTCTAACAAATACTGGTTTCCTCTATGATAATGAAGATTTTATAATTTATGCCTTTGCTTGGTAGTCATTGTTTAAAATTTTTAAAAACAGCGTGAAGCGATGTTTACACTGACCATTGAACATCAGTTGAACCCAACTCTAGGAGCTTCAATTAGAGCTAAGAGAAAACATTAGTGATTTTCTATATTTTCTGATGTGATATTACGTCTGCAAAGAAAGAACAACTCAGAATTAAGTTCGCTCCCCGGATGTCAAATATGAATGGTTGTGGAAGGAAGAATTTCCATGTCACTTCTAGTCACCAGATTACAGTGAGGTAGAGAGTGAAAAATTAGAAAAAAAAATTAATATCAAGGCACTTTTGTCAAGAAAGTGGATTGCATACCAGAACACACAAATGTTTAAATACTGTCGCCGACTGTTATTCTCTATTACCGTCTTATATTTTTAGAAACTTTCTTAATTTGTCCAATGTTGTGTTTTTTTCTTCATTTTCTTTCCCGCATCATTAAGGTAGGCTAGTTACTACAGTGAGCCTAAGACGCTGAACTGTTGTGAAGTTAAAATGTAGATGGCCGATGAAGTATTAGGATCACGTTTACTTTTTAGCTGTCGAACCAGTTTTATCACAAAAATGTTTCTATCCTGTTCTTTCACGTGACAAAGATTGGCATTCACGCATAACAGGCTGAATGAGAGTAATAAAAGAGTACTGTTTTAAGATACAATACCAAGATTGCTGACCAACCTTTCATCTTCTACCCTGTTTCTGACCTTACTGATAAGGCACAAAAGTCTACTGGAAGTTGGGTATAAAATGCTTTCAGGAAGAATACAAAGAAACATTCATTCACACTTTTGCTCTGAAGTTCTGTACTTTTGCATTCCTCTTAAGAGTAAATCCAGGTATCGAAACTCAGACAAGTGTAATCTTTGCGTGTTAATACTTCCTACAATTGCAAAACGAAGTACATACACTTATGTGCCAGTGACACAGTTCAACGTCGTATAGCTAATTCATGGGATGTTATTTAGACCGAGTATCACTTTTATAATGACACTGTGGAAGATGCTGGTTAGGCAGTA